TTTCTTGTCAAATTTCCAATAGGCTGTAGGTTTGTGAGTAGGCCTGAGGTTGATTTTGCTTTCTACTAGGAGATGGTCAGAATTTCCATATTGAGTTAAGGTTTCAAAGTTAAGTTGTCCAAAACTTGTATTAACAAATATATAATCCAAACGTGTTGCCATTCATTGGTTGTTTTGTGTGTTCTGGTAGAAGGTAATGAAAGGATCATTCTTTGTGAAATTAGCAGTATCAATAAAGTCTTTCATTAATTCTTTGAGTTGGTCTCTTGATCTATCGTTGTGTAGAGGTGCTTGGCTTATGCGATTGATTTCTGGATCAAGATTTGTGTTGAAGTCACCAGCTACCACGTATAGAGCATTATCATTTGCTATTGGAGCCCAATTGTTGAAGAATTGACTTCTTTGTTCCTGACTTGGGGGTGCGTAAACATTTGTAGCTATAAATTGTTGTTGTTTAAAAGAGAAGCTGACTGTGATCACTCGGTCGTTGTGAGTAATCTTTTTGTCATTAAATTTTATGTTTGGTTTGCCTGCTAAAGTGGCAGCCTTGGCTGACCAAACTGAGTCATATCCCCATTGTTGTGAGAGAAATTTTCTTGTTGCTGAGTCATTTAGATTTGTTTCCTGGAGAAGTATTAGATCTAGTTTGTAAGATTTTAACAGTGTTAAAGTTTTTTGGGCCTTAACAATATTGTTAAGACCTTTGACATTTAGTGTGGCGATTTTAATCATATGGAAAGATTAAGATATTAATAAAGCTATGAGCCACACGTGTAGTGGGTGTTGCTATTAATCTTGTGATTGAGAAGCCTCTTTTGAAGTGGCTTCAGTTTCTGCTGTTTGGATTCCATTGTTTGAAGCTTGAAGCTTTCCTTTATTTCCTTTTTTCTTTTTTGTCGATGCAGATGTAGTTTCTGCCTTCTCAGCATTAGGTATATTTTCTTCAAGTTCAGAGGTTGTAACTGTGTTTGAAGAATCTGTTTCCATTTTTATTTCTTTATCTAAATCTTGGTTCGAAGTAGAAATGGTGTTGTTGTTTGATGTTGGTAATCTATTGAGATTATTCTTTGGGTTTGTAGGTTGAACTTTATCAGTTTGTGAATTGGAAGTTGTAGGTGCATTATCTGACTCAGCTGAACTATTGGAATCCTCAATAGCCATGTCAGTGACATAAGGGTTATCTGAGCTGAAGCTA